CAAATTATTACGTGAGTAAGCCATAAACATAATAAATAGTATAGATTAAATTAGAAAAAAATAAAAAAATATTCCGGCAAAGAACTATACTCCTAAGTGATTTTCTGCCATGATAAAAAGACCGGAGGCGATGCTCTTCGTGCGAGGGCATGATGTATCTCATGAAGCGAAAATATTTCGCCGATTGTGTGGTGGTAAGATGATGGAGAGTACCAGGTGGATGAGGTGGAATCAAGTTCCTTCACACACTCGATATTAGGTACTTTTAGATAAGGATGCAATGAATAAGTAATCAGTAGGCAGCATGCCTACCTTTTTTTGTCAGGGGAAAATCCTCAAATGACTTCTGCCTAGGGTAAGACGAGAGAGAGAGAGTTTCAGACTCTTACTGACTAAAAACTCCCCCGTTCCTTCGCCTGTTTTAGGCCGAGGCCGCGGTGCCACATTGCTCTTATCCCGCAGCCCCGGTTGATACCTATATGAGACTACCTAGTCTACACAATTATTTGGTATAAGTAAGAGCGGCTCTTCGGTCGCCGGGCAAAGATAGCTCGTCGCCCAACAACAGCTAGACCCGAGCCTACGGCGAGTAGCGTTCCGCGCTCAAAGAGCCAATAGACCACCACAGATAGGGGTTAGCCATAAAGCCTGACACTCCCTCTCGCCAAACCCTAGGCTAAAGAAGTCGTTGTTGTCGATGATTTTCCTTCCTCAACAAAAAGTAACGAAAATACAGGTTCAATTCGGGACCAACTTTATTTTCTTACTTGCATATGCATACCAAACAGCTGTACAAACATATAGTAACAACCTTGATCTCTTTGTTGCCACAAGTGGCAAAAACTAAATAAGACATAAATAGCCTGTGGTTAACAAGCAAAAAGTACCAACATGTATTAATTTCACAATAACTTTACATGGCATTAGATAATAGACCTTAACGTCGACTTTTTAAGGTACATTTTATGTTAACGTTAAGAAGGATGACAAGAACAATCGCTACTTAGTGCCAATCACTTCGAATATTAGCAGGAGAGCATGAAATTAAGCCTTTTTAATGATATTACGTAAATTATGTTACAAAGACCGTATTGTCGTGCGCTTATATTGAAGACGACCTTCAGTCTCTATTGAATGTATTTTTAATCTTGAATAACGATTGTTGGGAAATGTTTAGAATTTTTAGAGGTTTTACGTGTAATAACAAACATTTTACGCATATTGAAAACATATATTTAGACGAATTAAAAGCCTACTTATGTATTGATTGCTTTCTTAAAAATATTACTTTTGTTCTTTAATTTATGTATTTATTACACTCTTTTTTATCTAAAACATAAAGCTATAAAATCAGTATTAGACCAAAAAAGTATAAAGCGCAAACATTTATTTTCAATGTCCGTCGAGATATGTCGTTTAGTTTCAAGCCACGCCAGGGGTCATAGTCATCGGCAGGATTGTGCGACAAAGGAGACAGCGAGTGTTGTGTTTCAGTGCTACGCTTTCAAAAATTGTGATATGATTCTACATGAAATAGATGGATAGATAGTACTTACTTGACGAAATGCCCCTTCCGAAATAAGAGTGCATCTCTACTGGTATTCACTTGTCTGCTTAGTTTTAAACCGTGTAGTACACATGAATCGACCACTGAAACGAAACTGCGGTATCCATTGCCTGGCGATTTAGAATCGAAATCGTATTGCGGAGCCACCTGTAACAAACAATTATTTGTTTATTTGAAGAATTGTTAGGCTGAAAGTTACCAAGTGATGATGTTATAATAATTGTCGAGACTTCGTCTTTAGATTCGAATCCAATTCGTATTTTTTTAAATAATCTCTGCAAAATATTCAAACTCAATTTATGTTTGAATATTTTGCAGACTATTTTAAAAGAGTGGCAAATGTGATAAAAATGTAATAAGTAAATGAAACTAAAGCAAGAATTTGTCTTCTTATAAATTGTATGAAAATATTTTTTTATAATGCCAATATTCATATTGAAAAGTCAATGGAGTTTAGGAATTTTGACATACTCTTGAGTGTATACACATAAGTAGTTTTATGTGGGTATAAATTGAGCAATTGTAGTACAGTTTTCTTATTTATTTCAATCTTCGATGTTGAATATTTATTGCAAAATTATTGCTGAATTAGAATATCAAGTTAAAATAGCAAACAGATTCTTTGAATAAAATTTACCTCAATATTAAAATAATATAGTGAATATTTAATAGATAAGTTAAGCCTTGGAAAACAAGCACTGATTATTAAATAGTTTTATCCTCAGTAAACTAAACATAGTCCAATATAAATTGAAATAACCAGATGGCACATTTTATTTGAAAACATTGATAATCTGGTAGGTCCAATTAACCCAATTCAATACTTTTGTTACCCAATTGGAGAGATAATGTATATTTCTACTATACATATTATTTGTTTTTAATAGCTATAGTTAAATTAAAAATAAAATTAATGGTTAAATGAAACAATTTACTTATGACATTATAATGTAGTGGTGAAATAGGTGGTCATTAATGTCTAAGTATTAGAAACATTAATAAAGTATCTTATTTTAACTAACAGAAAATTATCAAATTTCTAAGAATCAAATTCCTCGAAAGTGTAAAAAGTTTTCTATGATTATATTCAAGTATGCAAAATATTTATATTTTCAGCGTTATAGTATTCTTATCTAGGCAATACATCTGACATAATGTACAGCATAATTAAGATGTACAGTGTGTTTACCCAGATGAATCACTGAATGGACAAAGTTCATACATTGCCTGTGTAGTGTATGACATAATTTTTGTGTGAAACACCTACTGTTCTGAAAGAGTATCCACATGTTTCTTATCTCATCATGTGATTCAAACATCTGGTTCTAACACTTGTTTGTTATGATAACACTGTGTTGTGCAATGGTTTAGTTTTAAGAAAAAAAAACTACTATACATCTAACAGATTTGTGTATGAAGGTTTCCATATCAGAAATAGATTTTTGTATCAGAAAACCCCTAACTATTGATATGATATTTTTGTTCTGCTATTTGTTGTAACTGGGGCTCCAGAAATACATAATCTGTCTAAATTTTATAATTTCATTTTGTAACTTTTTGGCTACCAAAATAACATACAAATACCAAAGAAGCATTTCTAATCAAATTAACATTTTTTAACTCATTGATGTAATAATCTTTTATTTTAATGGACAGGAATTAGTATTGTAATTAGAAGGTCATACTTTCATTATTTTATCTTTCATTGATATTTAATAGGAGACTGATTAGATAAATTATAAAATTGATTTAGTAATATTAAAATATTTTAATATAAAAATAACAATGTGGAATATTTTTATTGCACATAATTGATGCAGTTTATGTATTATGTATACTTTTATTTAGTGTGAATCTTTGTATATGTGTGTAGTGTAGAATTAATTAGAGAAAGTATTTTTAAATGGTTGTCACACTACTGACTGACCTCATTATAATGTGAATAGAATATCAATTACTAGACATTTGTGTATGATCATAGGTTTTAGATGCAGATTGTAATGTTACATATTTGTTATGTAGTATGAAATGTTTGTACATACCTTCCTCACATGATCTACCAAAGGCCAAACAGTGTCTACATGGTCCATAAGGGTCATGAAGCCCTGGTACAACCTCTGCCCGTTCTCGCTATCGTCCGGTTTAAAATAGGTCGCATTGTTTTGGCACGAATCTTTCAATGCCTCGTACATCGCATACGTTGGTGCACCACCATCATGCGATATCTCACAGCACAGGGAAGCTTTCGCCGGCGACTCCGAAAAGGCCATTTTGGATAAAACCCTTTTCCCGTAACGCAAACCGCGTATAAAGAACTTAATCCTCATCTGTAACGATTTTATTTTAAACAACTGACGCACTTATTTATTATGCAAAAAATTCATACCAATCGAAAATATAATTACAAAATAGTTCGCGGGAAAATTTTGTTTTTATTGTACCATAATTAATTTACTATTTCATTCATCGCTGTCTAAACAACACAGACATAAAATAATGTAAAATTTATCGTTCCGTTGCGATCGAGTATTGAATACAGTTTGACTATTTGACATACGATTTTATATTTATGTCAATTTACTTCATTGACAGATTGACAGCTGTTTGTTTAATTTTTTTCCGTAATATATCAGCTGGCAACATTGGGTGGCATTAGAGTAGTTCCTGAAGTTAGGTTTATCAGTTAAAGATAGTAATGAGACTAATATTTAAAAAAAAGACAAGTATAATATGTTCATAGCTATGTATTTATGTTTGAATGCGACTTTCCTGTCGGTGAACTAAAGCGATTATTATCCACTATTCAGAAAAGAAAGTTCGTAACTTCACCGTGCACCGCACAAGCACAATAGACATTGCCCTTCTTTGGCCCTGGCTTCGGTAGCCTAGAATATTTATAACTACGTTAGTGAACAGCGGTATTGATAAAATTTCAAAGAATAAAAATAAATATCTAAGAATAAACAGAGAAAGTAATTTTCCCCTTGAACCTTGAGCGAAACCCAGACAGACAAGCCGGATGTTGAGAAGAAGACTGTACAGACAGTACCCTCTATTTTATACAGATCACGGGGCTCCAATGAATTTGCTAGATTTCCAATGATATTTGAATTAGACTATGACATAACGTAATATCCAAATCGAAAGTAGAAAAGGGCATTGTGAGAAAATTGATATTTTTGCAGCCCTTAGAATAAAGGGTAACGTTCTAATGTTCTATGAATGAAAAAAGGATGATTTATCACTCCTCCCATCATTAGTTGTTATTTTATTCTATTGGCAGATAAGTTCTTAGATTCTTTTTATTATTAAAATAATTTTCAATTTTTCAGGTGGAAACATTATTTCCAGATGAAGATGACACTTTCTACTAGATGGCATGATTGTATCCAGGCCATAAACTCCAAAAAAAAAAAGATGACATGACAGATTACAGATGTCAAAGTCAAATACTCAAATTGTGCATTTGTACTATTTTGTATTTGAAAAATAAAAATAATGAAATAAAGTCAATGAAAATGACCGATATTCCGTTAGAAATGGAACAAGTAGATGTGGATGAATTTAGCAGTCAGAGCGAAACCACTGCTAATAACGTAAAAAACGGAGAATACGCAGTAGCTAGCGAAGAGTATATTCACCAATTTCCAAATTTATTTACGAGTAAAACTCTGATAGAACTATCTAATTCATCGTGGTCGCGTTCTAGACGTGCTAATAATGATGTGCAGCCTTACTTACGCGGTTGTAAATGGTCACCGGACGGTACTTGTTGCCTTAGTGTGGTAAATAATGATGGGGTACATGTGACTGAGTTATCGCGAGACCTTTACACCGGCTATGTTGATCCCAACCGAATAATAGACGTTATGGATTCTGTAATTCACGTCAAAGAATGTGGACTAATTTATGATTTTTGTTGGTTCCCTTTGATGAATAGCAGTGTGCCAGAGAGTTGTTGGTTAGTATTATTATCCAGTTTTATAAATAGAAGTCTGGACTGTCAAGTTAAATACCTAATATTTGCCTAAGCCAAGCAATTTAAGTATTATGTAACGAAGAAAATTTAATAGACATTTATAGACAGTTTAAAATCTATAGACGCTAGAGAAGTTTTAATTCCTTGGTTTGATAGCTGCTTTTGATTGGGCTATTGAAATGCTATTGCAGTTATCACAACTCATTCTCTATAAATAAACTTTTATATTTTATTTTATAGAACCTTTCCAAATTTGATTTCAGTTGGTTGACAACTAGGCAGAATGCTCCAGTGCAGATGTGGGATGCTTATGATGGCTCTCTGCGTTGTTCGTACAGGGGATTTGATGCAGTTGACCAGATGGAACCAGCTTTGTCTGTCGTCTTTTCAAATGATGGCAGCAAAATAATTGCAGGATATAAAAAAGCTATTAGGACATTTGATGTTGAAAGGTATATTTTACAATCTTATCTCATTTTTCAACGAATAAAGCAAAATATAAAGTATTTATTAGATTCATTTCTTGAATTGTCAGTTTGAGTGAAACATGGAGAAATTAATATAGTGTTGAGATTTCCTTTTAATTTTGTTTATAGAACTTGCAATTTAGTAAAATTTTCACACCAGCTGAACAATTGTGAAAGGTTTAATTTAATTACTTAAAGAATTACCAATTTTACCACTACAACATGATTAAATAAATTGAAAGGATTTAGTAACTTATAAGATTAAGACATTGTGATTTTTATGTTGCAGGCCAGGCAGAGAATTTGTAGAACAAAAAGCGAATGCGGCTTCTGCCTGTATTGACATATGCAATAATTTGTTAGCCGTTGGATCCTGGAACACCACTGTTAGTTTGTACAGTGTAAATGCATCAGACAATTATAAAAGTATTGGAGTTATGCACGGACATGGAGGTGAGATACTTTGTAATGCATTATGTACAGTAACATATTAGGATTTAATGTAATAAATATTTTAGCTGGCTCTAGCTAGTTGTATATATGAGGCTTACTCATATAATATTTTATTATACAACTAGCTTTTCTCCTGCTGCTTAATTCCTTTTGGTTGTATGATGTTTTACAACCTATACATCTTTTTTAGATAAATGACTAATCAAAACAAAGTAAATTTTCAAATCAAACTAGTATTTTCGGAGATTAGTGCATTCAAACAAATTAATTGATTCATACATACATACATACAGCCATAATAAACTAAATTCACATCAATCTTCTGATCTTGGTTAATATTTTGATAAACTTATCACACAAGTAAAACCTGTACAATCTGCTTACAGGAGGTGTCACTCAAGTAAAGTTCACACCAGATGGACAATACCTTGTGTCGGGCGCTCGTAAAGACAACAGACTATTACTATGGGACATCAGATACTACCGTAGACCACTAAATATATTATCCAGAGTAGTTGAAACTAACCAAAGAGTTTACTTTGATATTTCACCTTGTGGCAAATATTTGGTTTCTGGTGGCACTGATGGAGTTCTTAAAGTATGGGATGAAGATCAGGTGCATTGGAAATCTGCTTTGGAAGTCACTGAGGATATGGGTGATACTGCTACTTATAAGGTTCGTATTTGTCGCACTTAAAATGTTATAAATTAACATTTAGTACCTATGTAAAACTTGTATAGTCAAAGAGATATTCTTCATCATACTTAAGACGAGAATTTTTGAAGATAGTTTATAAATAATTAATAATATTTGTTATTTTTCAGTTCCCACTTCACAAAGATTGCTGCAACAGCATCTCTCTACATCCACTGCGGCCTATTCTAGCAACTGGGTCAGGACAGTACCACATAAGACCACCAGTGCCATCATCACCTGAAAAGAAGCTTAATAATCAAGACAGTACCCTACCTATGATAAAGAAAGAAAGTTCCAGTGACGAAGCTACCATACCGAAACAATCAAATAAAAGGAAATATGAGGAATGCGAATCTCCTGATTTAGAAGTAGAATATACGGAAACCAGTGAAAATAGTCTAGTGTTCTGGTGGATAGGAGACGTGCCAGATTTGACGTAGATTTTAAAATATATGTTTAATATTTGTGTGTGTTTTCCTAAAGAAGTTATCTAGTCCTTAAATAGTTGTAAGGTTAATGTTTTGATAAAATAATTCAAATTGAATGTTGTTTTTTTTTTTTTTTGGATCACAACCTAGTTTCCAATTCAATATTGTCGACTATACTGCTAGTGTCAGGTTATTTGTATTTTTTCTTTAAGATTAGTTTCAAACTACCGCCAATATATCGCTTAGTCTTTACCTATGAAATTGCCGTTTTGCATGAAAAAAATTAAATGAATTTTTTGATTTGAAATGCGATGAAAATGTAACACTAATCAATAAACAAATGACTACTTTTGGAAAAAGAATCCCATGTTTTTAAAACAAAATTAATTAGCCTTAGCCTAACAAAAACTATTTTGATTTGAAATGGCCAGTACTGCAGAACGGCAATTTCATAGGTAAAGACCTATTATTTCAGCTTCGCAAGTAGATACATTATTATTTTTTATCATTTGTACCTACAGATTAAAAAGGAAAGCTTTTAAATTCGGCATTTAAAATAAGATAGATAGTTAAGTTATTAATCAAACAGGTAATGTTCTTCAAAGTGGTACATGGTAACAGTTAGATAAAAGGAAACCATCTTATTCAAAGCCATATAAATAGATAGAAGAATGAGAGATGAAATAGTAGCAAATCACGTACGGAAACAATTTTCTCGCGCATTCCTTCAGACAACTGTACATAAGGTGTGAACAAAGGGTCTTTGATTGATAATAGTACGTTTGAGTTAACAAGTGACAGGTACCTACATACCCTTTGATATTCGCCTTGGAAACAACGCCTTTATTTTTAACGTTACGTGTAACGACATAAATAGTGAAACTTGGACATTTTATTACAAAGCGTGGGCAAAATAATCGGAAATGCTAAACAACTCTTTTCAAAAAGATATTATCATGTGATTTAGGGCTGTGTTACAAATTCCTTTATGAGTTATTTGCTCGTTTGCGTGTTCCCATTGTCGGGCTTATTGGTTTAGTTGTGCCTTGGGAACGGCAGTTTAAAAAGGCTTTTTAATCATTTTCGAAGTTGGCTAATGTTTGTTGTTTAACAAATATTTTATTTTAAATGTGATTTTGTGCTCAATAAATCTTCTAAACATAAATTGGTTCTCAAATTATATTGTTACCCATTAGAATTGGAATTGGATCCAATTTGTATAATGACTTTTAAATGCGAACATTTTGGATTGCACCAGGTACACAAGAAAGTACCTAACAGTGTAAACTGAGCATTGTTTTATTTCAAGACTTCCAGAAAACTTTGGTGCATAGCATCTGTTTTGATGAGTAGGTACCTAACTAGGTTAAGAACATTGGCACCATTGACCCCATCAGTAGTGGTCTAATACCTAAGTAAGTGGCTCTTTGTGGTACGCGTGGAGTGCTACATAATTATATCGTGGCGTGGTATATCCGTGCGGCTCAGGTCAGGTTCTAGTCGGGCGGCGGCGAGATACCATTGACGTTGATCGTCGGAGTGTCTCCTGCGGCGGTTGATGCATGAGAAGGATAGTTCTTTAGGATAGGATAGGAGCTTCGCCTCCTTCTTTGGGAACATGACTGCTTCGCAAAAGGAGCAGACGGCTTCCTATTCCCCCTCACTCCGCGCTATGGTCCCAAATAAGACCAGGCGTTACAGGTCGCCGCCGTTGATGACTTCCTTTAGGACACAGTGGTGTTAAGCCCACTAGGCGCTACCGTATGCTCAGCCTTGTCTTCCGGGTAGTCTCGCAGTGACTAAAAGCCGGCGTTTCTTTCTGCTGTATTCGAAACAGGTATCTCCTAAACTATTATGGCCATATTTTGAGATTTCATAAAAAATTCGTAAGTAATTTCATTAAATTATTGAAATTGTTTAGTTGAAATAGACTGGATTATTCGTTAGGTCATTTGCGTGGCACGCACAAGTTTACAACGAAGGGTAAGTGTTTAAGCTCTAAGTAGGTAGTTCTAAGAACGTGCTAGCAATAACTTAGTAGCAGGTTACCTAGATAAGGTGCAGGCTGATTTTACTTTCAAAATTAGCATAGATACAATGTATAAAAGTGGCCTTAACACGTGCCGATAGCTGCCTGAACGTGTTTGCTACCTCTTGCGCTCGCTGGGGAGTCGGCCTCGTTACCTTATCTACTGATTACTTAATATTTTACTACCTAAGACCTGAACCTGTCCAAGACGTAGTTTGTTTAACAGTTAGGTAGGTACCAAGTATGTGAAGAGAAATAAGGTTGATAAACAATTAAAAAAATATAGTTTAAATAGAGACATTTTGTCTCAAAAGTTAAAACATACACCTAAAGTAAATTAAATGTGACATTAGTTTAAAATAAGTTCACCTTTAATCAAAACTAAAGCAAAGAAGTGTCGACGTAACCTGTAATAATCTTTATACAGGGTGTAAAAAGACGACGAAGCCGAAAGCCACGTATTCTATCCATTATTTGGATCATTTTTTTCTTTAAGACTATAGCTGGGACTCCACGGGTTCTCGAGATATTGAAGTTCAAAGATGCATTTTTTTTGCGCAATCGAATTCTAAGTATTATTACAAAACTTTTTTTCAAACAAACATTACCTGAATTTTCGATTTTTCTAAATAAATTACGCATTTGAAGTTACGAACAGTAATGTACGTAATAAATAAATGCAGAACCGCACAAAAAACATCTTGCATCTCAGTAGGATTTTTATTTTACAGAATTGTTTTGTTGTTGCGAAGTAAAACGTCGACCTACGTACTTATCCCAGCGTTTTCATGTTAAGCTGTGAACCTACGCACACAATGACACGACGCCCGTTTGCTTTACATTGCGCGCAATAAAATTATTTTTTTTTTTGATACCTAAAAAAAAAGTCGTTTCCCAGTGATAACTTTAGCGTAAAGCTACATAGAACTGCAGTATGCGTAGTTAACGGCTTCGTTAAGTGTCTTTTTACACCCTGTATATAGAAAAATCGTGTCATGTGTTTGTCCGCGATGGACTCCTAAAGTACTAAACCACTTTTAAATTTGATTTGCATTCCGTGTGCATTTTGATACAACTTGAAAGATAGGATAGCTTACATCTCAATTTATAGTCACAATATTATTTACCTTAGCCACAGCAACGCGTGGCTGGGTCTGCTAGTTAAATATAAGAAAGAGTACCTACGAGACATTATTTTTTAGATAACACTAGGCTTTTAAACTCAGACCAGCTACATACCTTGGGAGGTACCTACCTACATACGCTTACCTTATCAACAGTGTCCGTAGAAATAGAAAGGAAAAATGGGGATTAGGGTTTTGGGGAAGTAGGAATTGGGGAGGGGCTAGTGGCAATACTCTGGTCCAGCCGACCCATTCGTGCCGAAGAATGGCTCTCCGACACTTCAACATGCAGATATATAATATTTTGTTGTAGTGATAAATATTATCGGAATGCCTTAAGTGAAGTAAACGCTGTTGGTTTAAATATATCACTTTACTGTCGTCCTTAATTTTAATTAAAATGTATGTAAGAACGTCTAATCTATTCACGCTAATCTTACAGACAAAATTACAAACAAACATTTCGCTGTATTGTCGTAGCGCGGCGTAGGCGATATGTATCTACGAGCTACGCCGTAGCCGCAGCGGACAGCAAATAATATGTCGGCACCGTAGTCAGCTAGAACGCTACAGAGTAACCTTCGTAGCAAAATATCGCAGAAGCTTCACTAGAAGCTTCATAAGAAACTCAGAAAGAAATGTATTTATGTTTTATAGAACATCATTGCGTTAGTATTAATTTCGATTTTATTAAAATATTTTTTTTGCCTATTACGAAAAGTCTTTCTTTTACCTAACATTTATACGATAGACTAAGACGAAGTATTTAGTAAAAAGCTTGTTGGTTAGAGAGAGAGAGAGAGAGAATGGACCTTTTACTGTGTTTATGTTTTGTGTCGCAATTGTTACTAGGAGGAAGATGTGCAAAGAAATGTGTCTCAAGTTACTGGCTTGGAGTGATGTTTTGTTTGCTCAGCTATACCGGTTATTTATTGCTTAGATACGGTACAAAGTCCTAACTTCATACTGGCCGGTCAGCTAGATTGATATACTAGCCGCGCCCTTTAATGTCGTCGCTATATCACTAGAAAAACTTTTGAGAACGTTTGCATGTTTCGTTGTTAGTATTTTATAAACAGATGAGTTAGGTATATAGAAGTATGTTCTTACGTAAATATGTTGTTTTGTTGGTCATGAGTCCCCTCAAGTAGTCAGCTAGACTGATATAAGTATTTCCCGGGGTTGCGGATGCAAGTGTAATAATGTACCTACTACGATTTCGACCCAGACGCGGAGTAAAAACGGTGTGGATTTTAGTATGTTAGGGTCTGACACTCCTTCTGACTGCACACAGGGCGAGGGCATTAGAAAACCTTGAAAAATGTCCTACATATTCTTTTTCTTTATATTTTGTTTATTATTTAATAGTAAATCGATTTGTGACATAAAATACAAAAAATATTGTAAAGTTGAGACAACATTTTTGCGTTGGTAATATTTTCTGGAACTATGAAATCATGGAATTAAGTTTATGTCAAAGAATGAGCTACCTACCTATTTGTGCCCTAACGCAGTAAAGTTGTTAAAAAATTCAAAGATTTATTCTTGTTATTAACTTAAAAATTAAGGTACCTAGGTAGGCTTACCTTTCTATTTAATAAAAAAGGAATTAATACTTTTTGTGATAGGTTTCTCATATTTTAAATTCATTAAAAAACTTTCTATTCTTACGTTGTCGTTTTAGTATGTATAGAAAATGTTTGTGTGGCAGTTTTAGAATTTACGAGATTGCATACAGAGAGAGAAGACGCTCTCCAAATCTCGTTTCGCATTCGTATCGTCTCGTATGGCATGTAGGTAGGTACTCTATGCATATATAAGGACATATCGTATTATTTTATTTGCGCAGTGGTTTATTAAGATGACGTGCTAGCGACTTTTAATGACGAAATTTAGTTTCAATTC